TATGACTCCTATTCCCTCTTCCGTCAGCACCCCCACCACCGTGATACTGCACCATCCCACACTGCAGCCAGACTGTGCACCTTACTTAGCAAGGTGACAAGCCTCTGTTTCTCACTGTTCAAAATGAGTACATGTGCAGGGTCTTCCCATGGAGTCACAGAACTGTCTTGCACACAGGGTGTGCCCAGGGCACAGCAGCTGCAAGCACATGGTTTACACAGGTCACAGGTGGTGCTGTCATTGAGGGATGTGGTTACCTGGACAATATATGAGTGTTTCACACAAAGCCTTATGGTGAGCAAGGAGAAGCCAGCCAGAGACTGTGCCCCCTCTCACAAAAACCCACTGCCTTCTGTCTCCATGGGGCTCTTGTGAGACTAAGAGCCTGAGAGAGCAGGTATGGAGTGACTCCAGACCTCATGTGCCGTGTGCCAGGTAGCCATAGCTGTCACTCCTACCCTGCTCCACAGATGAGGCAGGGAGATCACAGCAACAAAGAGCTTGCAAAGCACAGATGCTCCTTTCATGGCCTCTATCCTGTCCCTCGCTGTCCCTACCCATCCTGACTCCCCCTATAGCCTTCCTGGGGTCTGGTTTTAGCCACTCTTCCTGCGCAAGCCCTCTCCATCACCTTCAAACCCTCACTCTTCCCCCATCCCACTGCCCTCTGAGTGGTGCCTGATGCTTCAGGGAGCCCCCAGGACCTCCTTCCCCCATATCATTGTTCATGTTACAGCCATGTGATATCTCCTCTTTGCCTGCTCCCCCCGCCACATTTAATAGGCCCAGCCTGGGTTCTGTAGCCTACCCCGAGGCCATGTCTCTAAGGGAGGATCCAGCCACCTTAGCCATGCCTGGCCCTGGCTCACCATAGGTGCACATGATTGCACCATGTCCACATGGGTGTGGTGGACTATGAGGCCAGTGTCCCAGGGAGCTGTGTGTTGGCCAGGAGCAAATATGGGCTAGGAATAGGGACACCATCTTCTTAAAGGCGCCTGGCTTGCCATGACCTCATCCCTGGACTCTCCCAGCTGTGTTGCATCTTGCTGAGCCTGGGCAGCTTCAGAGCCTGTTTCAAGAACTACTTCTGCTGGAGCTGGGTGTGGTGGTGCAAGCCTGTGGTGCAGCACATGGGAAACTGAGACAGGGAGATTAAATTTGCTGCAAGGTTGAGGCCAGCCTGGGCTACATAGTGAGTTTAAGGTCAGCCTGCACTATATAGTGAGACCTTATCTCAAACAAAACAAAACCTCTGCCTGCCCAGCCCGTAGGAAACATCACCAAGGTACTACCTCCTCCTCACAGCCTAGAGGAGCATTGTCCTGTGCTTCAGGAGAGCAAGAAGCTCAGAACTTGTCCTCTCTGAATCCTTTCATATGGTAGCTGGGAGGTTTGTGGGCATGGATAGATGGTGGATGCATGTGGGATCAAATCTGGTGCCTTTGGTTTTGTTGTTTGTTTTCTTCCTTCATTGCACTGCACTGGGAATTCTGATATTATAGTATTGAACAAAAGTGGTCAGATTCAGTTTTCTCCACTACTTAATGTTTGTTATAAGTTTTTAGAAGATGCCCTTTATGAGGTTGAGGGAGTTCCCTTCTGTTTTACTGAATATTTTTCAGAAGTAGTTGTTCAGTTTTGTCAAGTCTTTTGAGATAGTCATGTGGTTTTTCTTTTTTTGTCTGTAAATATACTTCATTTTAGTGATTTTTCTAATTAACCCAACTGAATGAGTCCTACTTTATTTTGAGGCATTAGCCTTTTGTACCTAGGTAAGTTGTTTGTGTGAAGATATTTTTGCATGTATTTCCTCAGGAATATCTGCTTATAGTTTCTATTTTGTTCTGTCTCTGGTTTTGGTTACAGAGTAATGCTAGCTTCATAAAAGTAGTGGAAAGTATTCCCGCCCTTTCGGTTTTCTGAGTTTCTGTAGAATTGGACTTATATTTCTTCTTTAAGTGTTTGGTGTTACCAACAAATCCATCTGGATTCAGAGGAGTATTATTTTGTAGGAAGGTTTTAAACTATTTGCTTAATTGCTTTAAAAGATACAAGACTGTTCAGATCACCTTTTTCTAATTGAGAGGGCTTTGGTAGTTTATCATTTAGGGGATTTTTTTCATTTCAACTAAGTTGTCAAATCTGGCATAGAGCAACTTGTGATATTCCCTTAATAGCTGTAGAATCTATAATGCTACCACATCTTATTCTTGATAGTAGTAATTTGTGTGCCCCCTCTCTTCAGATATTATGGCTAAAGGTTTATGAATTTAATTGAGCTTGAAGAACTTGCTCTTGGTTTTTAAAAATAGCTTTCTAGTAAGAAAAAAAGGGCTGGGGATGTAGCTCAGTGGTTCTGCTGCCTGCCTCATTAGCAAAAGGTCCTGAGTTTGATCTCCCGTACAAAAAAAAGAAAAGACAAGATATCACATAAATTAGACGTGTGAATTTTTATAAGCTAAACACATCCATGTTATAAGCCCCCCAGAGGAAGAATCAGGGCAGTACAACCCCTAGAATCCTCCTCTAGTGCCCCTGACACTGTCCCCCCAATCCCAAGGCTCACTACTCCTACTGCTACTCCTTCCTACTTTTCTTCTCCTTATCCTCTTTCTCCTCCTTCTTCTTGTTTTTTTTTTTTAATGGTTCTGAGAATTGAACCCAGCCAGAGCCTTTGCACTGACAACATCCCCAGCTCTTTAATTTTATTTTTTTACTTTGAGACGGAGTCTTAGCTAAGAAGTCACTTCTATTGTTCTGATTGGGCTTAAACCTTCAGTCCCCAGCCCTTCTTCTTCCAGGCATTTGGCACTATGCCAGGCCCAAGGGTAGCTTCTAACAGGGCTGACTTCTAACACCACGAATTAGCTTTACTTATTCTTGAAAGTTTATAAATGGAATCTATGCACTCTTCTCTCTGCTATCTTTTACTTGTTATATGAGATTCATCTTTCCATATAAGAATACTTTATTCATTATTCATTTCTCTGTAATTTGCTGTTGTGTAAATATATTACAACAAATTGATCCTTCTTTTGTCAACAAATGCTTGGGAACTAACATTCCTATAAAAAATGCCTTTCTCTGCACCCATGCGGCATCCTCCCCGGTGTATGCCTGGGAGTGGCAGTGCTGGGTCAGAGAACAGACACACGCTTTTGATCTCTTAAGCAGTTGTACCAATCGCATCCCACACTAGAGTAGGAAGGCTGCTCGGGTTTTAAGCAAGGAATGACAGGCTGTGTGTATCCTAGCACTCCATTGATGCTGCCAGCTATCTGTTGACCACCCAAGGGAAAATGTGAAAATGCACAGCCCATGCTGCAGGGAAGACAGTTCTGCCTGGGACGGGCTGATCTCTCCCACAGCGCTCAGCTGATGCCAGGGAGAGCCCAAGTTAGTTCATAAAGATGGAAACTGAAATTGTTGACTGAACTGGTCTTTCTTTTTCCCCTGAAGTAGGTGTTTAGTGCTGTAAGTATACTGCATACCTGCTTATTGACATGCCATAAATTCTCATGTGCCTTTCATTTAGTTAAAATACAGGGCTGGGGATTTAGCTCAGTGGTTCCACTGCCTGCTTATCAAGTGCAAGTCCTGAGTTTGAGCCCTGGTACCGGTGGTGGGGGCAACTTTATTTGACACATAGATTATTTAGTTGCCAAATATTTGGGGATTTTTATAGAGATTTTTCTATTAATTTGGGTGTTCACTTGTCCTAATATCATTTGTTGAAAAACTATTCTTTTGCTATTGATTTACTTTTGTACTCTTGTCAAAAATTAAGTAAGTATATATTCAGTTTATTTTTGGACTCTGTTCTGTTCCAGTGGTGTCTATGTCTCATCCTGATGAACTTATCACACAGTTTTAATCATGGTACCTTCATACTACAATCTGAAATTGTAAACTCGCCCACTTTGTTACCCTTTTTCAATGTTCTTTTAGCTATTCTAGGTCCTTTGCAAGTCCATATGAATTTGAAAGTGGGCTTTTCTATTTCACCAAGACCTCTGTCAGGAAGGAAATGAGTCTCTCTGTTCTGATTTGTTGATATTGGAAACATTTAAACTCAGTTGCTTTCTTCATTCTCCCAGATACTTTTTGTGGATTGAATTCCTAGACTTAAGTAGGATTTCTGAAGAAGTAAAGGAGAAAAAAATTTTCTTTTTCTCTCTTAAGACCAAAGCAAGCCATGTATTTTCTTGCTCTTCAGTGCCCCTCTTGCTCTTGCTTCCTATCTTAAGCCAGAAGTCCAGTAAAAAGACAGGAGCAAGAGCAGGAAAGGTGCCTGCCGAGGGCCTGGCCCTTCACAGGGGCACAAAGTGGGTGGTCGGGCTGACAGCATCCTAAGGCATACATGCTGCGCAGCTGCTGACCTCGAGGTGTGGGAGACCTGAGGGTCCTACCCTAGGCCAGCACCATTTCCCAGTCAGTTTCACTTGTGGGGTCTTCCGCCTGAGCCCCAGGAGTCTGTCCCATGCTCCTCACCAGTCTGGAACATGCTGGTATGCTCATGTCTGGGCCTCCATACACTGTGCCAGCCGCTCTGGCTGGTTTGTACTGTGCCACAGTCCCTGGGGTCTGGAGCTCTGACTAAGCAGCCGGATTTCTCCCAGAGCAAGTGAGGGACAGGTCAGAATCGAGTAGCTGCCTCTTGTATGTGGTGGCTGGTGCTCCTCCTTGAGCCTTGGCGTTTCCTGTCTAGAGCAGAGCAGCGTGGGGGGCTATGTGGGCCGCTCTGGAATTGCTCCTCTGTAGCTCAGCCACTTGTCTTAGACCTCTGCTGGTCCTCTGGAGCTTCCTTGCTGGCCCCCAGGATGAGGCCCTGTGCTTGGTCCTGCACAGAAGGTGCTTGTGTCACACCTGTCCATGTGGCAGGCACCCTGTCCTTGACACTGACTCCTACTCAACACAGACTGCTTCCCAAGACCCAGGTTATCTTCATTATACACAAGCATGCCAGAGACGCAGGATCTCCACTCTCCCTGCACCGTGAGCCTTGCTCAGCAGCCCCAGGATACCCATGTTGTGAATGTCTTGTCTCCTTTTGCAGGCATTCGGACAGGCACATACAAACCACAAGAAGGTAGCCGCGGATGGTGAGAGCCGGGAAGAAAGCCTGATCCAGGAGTCGGCCTCCAAGGAGCAGTACTATGTGCGAAAGGTGCTGGAGCTACAGACAGAGCTGAAGCAGCTGCGCAACGTCCTCACCAACACACAGTCAGAGAATGAGCGCCTCACATCCGTGGCCCAAGAGTTGAAGGAGGTGAGTGGTTTGGGGAGGTGGATTGTGGCACTGTAACCATGGCACTGTGTGGTAGATGTGACAATACCGTATGCCTCCAAAGCAGTTGGCTCTAAGCTGGGCATGGTAGTACATGCCTGTAATCCCAGTACTTGGGAGGCTGAGGCAGGAGGATTGCTACAGGTTCAAGTCAAGGGTGGGCTACATAGTAAGTTTAAGACCAGCCTGGACTATATAGCAAGAACCTGTCTCAAAAAAAAAAAAAAAGGAAATAGAGGCTGTGGCTTCATTCACACTCCATCTCTGATCTCCTATATTGTTCAGAAATGAACACACGAGCACTGCTTCATCGGGGCAGTCCTTGTGTCTCAGGTGGTATGGTTCCCATGAACCAGACCAGACCAGGAAAGTGATCAGCATTTCAAGGCCTTAGGTGTGGAGCCTGTGCCCACCTATCACTGGACACCTCCTTGTCTGGGGAACACTTTATTTTGTTCAGGCTTGACTATGCCGGGCTGTCAGGAAGAGTTGTGCAGGACTTGGTCAGGACCTAAAGAAGGCATGGTCCAGCTTGTAGTTAGGGGGCCATGGCTACCTGTAAGAGAGAGAAACCAGTGCCTTCTAAGGAAGAGTGAGGCCCTATCACCAAGGCAGGAGTGGGCTGGCCTCCAGGGACAACAGGTAGATCTGGATGTCCCCTCATGAGCTATGGTCCTGATTGTGGTCCTCCTGGCCATGATCTTGGGGCTTGGCCTCCAGTTTCTCATGGGGGCAGAGGTTGCTGCTGGCTTTACCCCTCACTGAGCCTTGGGCAAGGCCTCATCTTGAGTTCTAGCCTGTTTTTCCCATTTGTAAACCCCTCCAAAGCCCCTTGTAGAAAATACCTATCTGGTACTCTACCACTCCACATCCTCCAAGTATCTCTGGGGCCCTGTTCTAGCCACAGGAGCCCTACCCTCTATAATTTTTTTTTTTTTTTGGTACCGGGCATTGAACTTGGGTCCTTGCGCTTGCAAGGCTGGCCGCCGAACCGCTGAGCTAAATCCCCGGCACCCCTTCTATAATAAATGTTATCACAAAGAAGTCAGCAGTGCAACAGCCCTGAGGGTGTGCAGTAATCAATCTGGGCCCCACAGGGCTGGCAGTGTCGGCCTAGCGTTTCAGGACACCATGGCCAGCCATAAAGGAGTGATTGCCTCCCCCAAATTGAGGGCTCCATGGGTTTGAGAGGAGCTTGGCTTAGAGCAGGGTGCTAGTCTTCAGACCCTAGAGCAGTGGTGGTAGCCCTATGGCATGTGTGGTATTTGTTTTTCTTTTAAGATATAAGATGTCAATGTATGAGTTGTTTTTTCGAAACTAAAACCTCAGTTTTCAGGTTTAGTTGCAGTGTTGGCACTTTGTGATAAATAAGTGGATTTTCGGTTGCAGTTTGGTTACTCGTCTCCAAAAGGTTCACTATCACTGCCCTAGAGCCATAGTGCCTGATCCCATTTTCTTCTTCAAGGATTGCTGTCGTGAGGGTAGTAGGAAGGGCACTGAGGAGGAGATGGAGCTCCACCTGCCCTGGCTACCATCCATCTATGTGGCCTCTCTTTTCCTGAAAAGCCAGTGCAAGCATTCACTCCCACTCATTGTATTCTGCCCCTTTCCCAGGCAGCTGCTTGACCCTGCTGGGCCGGAAATGAGCTCAGTGAGTGAAAGACTGACTGGTGGGGAGAAGAGATTCCTGCTGTTCCTGTTTGTGCTTCATGAGGAAATTCTGACTCTCCGTATATACCCCTGCAGTTCTCTTTTCTCTCCTGAGAGAGACTCCCACGCCAGTGGCACCTGCCCCATAACACCATTTACTGCTTTCCCTCCACTGCTGTAGAGCCTTAGGAACCCCACAGGGTTTTCACCTCCTGTGTGCCTGGCTGGGATGGAAGCTCTGCTGCCAGTGGCACCTCTCTCAGCACCTGTCCAACCATAGCCAGCTCCTATCTCTGCTACTGTTGCTTCCTGGTCTGAGCTACTGTGCTGAGAGCTCTGTAGTCACTAATATGCTGTCCTCCACTGGCTAAGGCTTGTTACCCCTTGGGTTGGAGAGGGTCTCCGTTTCCTACCCACCTGTCTTGCTGGCATGCAGCATCTGGTAATGGGCTGTGCCCTTTGACCCCCCACCCATGCTGTGACAGCCCTCACCTTTTCTGCCCCTGGGACTACTGGTCTAAGTATCTGCCCCACTCCAGCCCCCCCACCATGAGAACACATGGGTTATGGTTCCAAACATACTTGGCCTGTCCAGTGATTTTTAACTGCCTCAGACCTAGTCATCATAACGATGGTCCCAGTGTTTCTACCACACGTGAGAAACTGAGGCTGGTGAGAGTAGATCTCTGGGGTCCTGACCCTTGCTTGACTTTTTTGCTGTGTGTAGGATCTGTGGTGGGCATCTGGGCAGCTTCTGTCCTCTTGGCATTCTTCGGGGGGGGGGTCTGGTGCCCCGGTAAATGGGTGGCCATATACTAAGGAATGGCCTAGACAGGAACTTGGTGGGGATGTGGCTCTGTTTCCCAGCCTGAGGCTCCCTTGACTCCACAAAGGGTGAGGTAGGGTAGGGGGCTGTCCTAGGATGTTGGGGCAGAGACAGTTTAGGAGCTCTGAAGTAGGTAGCAAAGAGGGCAACCAGTCCCCCTGCACCCTCCTTGCTAGGTTAGGACCCCTGGTGGTCAGCTCTGCCTACTTCCTCCATCTGGGCTGCTCATCTGCACAGAGCCAAGCTTGTTCTCTGCACTCTGTTGGGCTGATGTCAGACAAACTCACCTGGGCGGAGGTGCTTACCTAAGGGAAAACCAACCCCCCAGTGACCAGTCCCAGCCTGTCTAAGCTCTCAGAAGTTGGGTGGATGCTGGGCAGAGGGGGCAGGTGGTAGGCCACCAAACTTTACTTCCATGATACGGTTCAGAACAGAAGCACAGTTGCTGTGGAATGAAAGTGCAGGTGCTTGGGTCCTGCATTGTCAGAGAAATGGTGCCCTCACCTGCCACGTGGCATTGGTAGGCTAGCATGTGACTTTCATATGCCTGTCTGTTCTGTTGTCTTACCACACCAGGACTGCATGTGCCCAAACACCTTACCAACCCTGGATTCTGGCCCTGGCAGTAGTGCAGGGACAGGTCTCCTTGCACACCTTACCAGGGCCAGGGTACCAAGGGTGTCAAGGACTGAAACAGATGGCATGAGCACTGCCCTGGGATGCAGCACTCTCTCGGTGTTGGGAGTTGGGGAAAGATAGTGCTCTCAGGCCTCTGGCACTCTCTTACCATTGTCTAGAGGCCTGCTAGTCCACCGTTCTTGGCCTACAGAGCTGAGGGAGCTGATGGGACTCAGATCTTACCTTCTGCAAGGAGCAGACAGGTGGTCTCATGGAGCCATGGCACATGTTTGAGCACCAAACACTTTTGAGTTAGCAAAGAAAGGGCAAGGATTGGAAAGCATTTCTGACAGAGAGGCAGCTGAGGGCCTGTGCACAGCACTCCAGACTCTCAAGGAGGGGCCAGCAGTCCTGCCCCTGTGATGGCTGTGCTGGGTCTCTTTCCTTTCCTCCATCCCGGCTCTTGTTTTACTACCCTCTCCTTTCACGGGGGCTTTTCCAGTCTGGTCTCGCCTCCTCCTCATGTAGATCCCGTTTCTTCTGGTGTCCTGAAGGTAACAAAGAGTTTACACGAGAACACCTCTTGTCATCTGCTTGGATCATTTAATAAGAGAGCTGTGTCTATATGCCATCGATTTTAAATACCATTTTTGTTTCCAGTGATAAGCATTTGTCAGTAGTGCTTGCTGTACATTGTGACTATCTTCCATTTTCTGTTCACGACTGTTTGTGGCCCTGTTTCATTTTACTGATCCAGTTACTGTTTTATGTGTACCTGCATGTCATCGTGGAGTCTTAGTCTCTCAAATGAACACACAAATGTTGATCAAGATCCACAGGGATGGTGGTAATGAGGACAGAGCTGTGGCCCAGAGGGTGAACAGGGCTTCTGGCCAAGGGCTCTGGAGCAAGGGTGGTGTTGGCCTGGAGAGGCCACCTGGGCATCAGGAACAGGGGTTAGGGAGGGAACAGAGTGCAGGGAGTGGGCGGAAGATTTACTCAGGGAACACTTTTGCCCCCTGGGCCACGTCTGGAAACATCTTCACTTGGTAACAGTGTGAAGGGTGCTGCCATCTGGTGGGCAGCCATCAGCCTCCACCACAGAAAATGATCTAGCCTTGACTATCTCCAGGGCCAAGGTGAAAGTGCCCAGGTCACAGACAACAGCAGGTTGAGAATTCCTGCAGTCGGATTGTATTGTATTCACCTGAGCCTGGTGCGAGCCTTTCTCTGTGCTCCACTCTTTGACACTTGGCAGGCAAGTCAGAGGCAGGAATTAGATTTTAATAGCTTTGTTAGATAGTTCACACCCCATACAACTCACTTAATGAGTGTAATTCTAGCATGTTAACAGATGTGTGCACTATCATACAGGTTTGTTTTTGTTTGGGGTATTTGCGCTGAGACCCAAGACCTGGAGCATTTTAGGCAAGTGCTGAACACGCCCAGCCCACAACATCAATTTTTTAACACATCGCTCCAAAAAGAAACCCTGTTCATAGTTAATCCCATCCCTTACCAATCTGCTTTCTTCTCTATGGATTTGCCTGTTCTGGGCATCTCATGTAAATGGAATCCTACAATGCATGACCTCTTGTGACTGGCTTCTTTCACTCAACAGCATGTCATCAGCAGCTTTCATTCAGGTTATAGCAAGTGTCAGGACATCATTCTTTATTATGACTGAAAGAAATTCCATGATACAGATAGGTCACATTTTCTTTATCCATCCATTTGTCAATGGATGCTTGGATTGCTTCCACATTTTGGCCATTGTAAGGAAACAGTGCTGCTGGGAACATTCATGTACAGGATCTTGTGTGGATGTGTGTTCATTTCTTTAGGGTAGATACTCAGTTTTACAGAGCATCTACAGACTTTGTACTTTTGCACTGCCCCATTTACCTGCCCACCAGCCGGGTAACCCCATCTTACAGGCAGAGACACCAAGGGTCAGAGCAGGGTAAGTTACCTGCTATGGGTTCCAAAGCTGAGAAAGGCTGAGGGGATCTGACTGGGCTGTCTGCTGTTCCCCACACACCACATTGCCCTGGCTCCATCTCTGCTCCAGGTAGCTACACTGGTGCCCAGAGGCCTGGGTCTTAAAGTCCTGTCTTTGTGCCATGCCTTCCTCTTGCCGCTTGGAGGCAGGGCTGATGGGCACCTGTGGAGCCTGCTCACACCTGCCTTCCTTTCTGCCCTGACAGATCAACCAGAATGTAGAGATCCAGCGAGGCCGCCTTCGTGATGACATCAAGGAGTACAAGTTCCGGGAGGCCCGCCTACTGCAGGACTACTCAGAACTGGAGGAGGAGAACATCAGCCTGCAGAAGCAAGTGTCTGTGCTCAGACAGAACCAGGCAAGACTCTGGGTGGCTGTGGGTGGGCACACAGGTCAGCTCTGGAACTCTTAGCCCTCTCGCCTAACTCTCTTCTGTCTTTCTGTCTCATTTTCAGCTGGTGCTGAGACCCAGCACCAGCACCACCACAGTTGAGGCAGGGCCTGCAGCCAACAGGGCCTAGACCCTCCAAGACGATGGAACGAGATCTGTGGCTACAGTGTTTGCTGACCCTTGGGCAGGCCAAGATGAGAGAGGAGCAGTCCAGATGATGAAAAGTTTACACCAAAAAAACCTGAGACTAGATCTCTTAAGTGCTGTTGCCTTCGGGTGCTGGCCACAAGCTGAAATATTACCGTGACCTGCCTGTAGCAGGGATGAAGAGGGTCCTGTCACCTGTGACAGGGTTTCTGAGGGTTTCCTCTGATGGAAGAAGGTGATCCTGGGATCTGGGAACCACTCAAGGCCTGAATATCTCCCCTGCCATCCCCCGCTAAGGTCCACAACCCTGCAAGGAACCTTTTCTCCCAGGAAATCCCAGTCTCTCCCCCAGAATAACCAATGATGCTTTCCTTGCTTTCCTCAGATCCCCTTTACCACCCAGATCCTCTCAGAGCAGAAAAATCTCATCATCATATGTATATGCAGAAATCTCTGTGTTTTCAAAAGCAAGCAAGGAGCAGATTCTTTTCTTCATAAAACCACAAGGACAGGAGCTCACAGCCCCATTGTGCAGTGACAGCTCATTCTCACATGTGAAAGGACCAATTGTCCATTGGCTTACCATAGGCAGAGCCTGGCCCACAGTACTCCAAGAAGAGAAGAAGCCAAGGCACAGACACACCCTGCCCTCAGTGGGGTTCCCCCTTCCACTCCTCATGTCTGGGATCCCTCACCACCTGATTTGGTGCGCTAAGGTGAAGGGCTCCATGCCCACTTCTCATGAGCATACCTAGGCTGTGGTAACTGGTGTCTCTTCCTACCCAAAACCCGTGAAGATTGTTCAGTGCTTCATTTCATTGGTTTATTTTTTAACAGTACTACAAAATAAGGCATGTTTTTTTTTAATTGCCCAAAAGCTTTGATACCTCCATTAATCATCAGTTTCCATCTGCTCTTTTCCTTGTCCGCCTAAAATATAATTTCATGTCAACAAGACTGTACTTTGTACCCACCTCTAGGTCTGCATTATGAATTTAGCATTGAGACATTCTGCCTTCAGAACGTCTGTTCCTTTATTTTGAAATATGATTCAAAATAATGGTCATAGCACACACTGAAGTATATATTTTATGTGCCTGAAGATACTTGATTAGCTATTCATGTTAATTAATTATTTTATATGATTTAAATCAGTCCCCACTTGATATTTTTAAGAATCCTCTTAGAAATAGGGCAGCATAGATGTATGTTCTGAGGGCAGAGGCATTGCAGGCTCCATGTGTCCCAGACATTCATGTTGTGCATCCCTCAGGGCACACTGGGCCTGGCAGTGAGCTGAACGTTTCCATGCATTTGCATCAAATGCCCTGGGACCTGTTAGCAGACACATCCCTCAGTGGAGGAAGTAGGTTCACCTGACTGGCCACTGTCTCTTTTACAGTGCAGTGCTTCTCCTCATGAGTCACGTTTGCTCTGTGTGGCTGGGGAGGTAGCACCCTGGTGCATTTTCTTAATTTATCAGGCTATATCAGACCTCTTAATTTATCAGAGCGTTCCTATTCAGATTATTCAACCTCCCTTTCCCAGGTGGAGTTTGAAGGCCTCAAACATGAGATCAAGCGTCTGGAGGAGGAGACTGAGTACCTCAACAGCCAGCTGGAGGATGCCATCCGGCTCAAGGAAATCTCCGAGCGGCAGCTGGAAGAGGCACTAGAGACACTGAAGACAGAGCGAGAACAGAAGAACAGCCTGCGCAAGGAGCTGTCACACTACATGAGCATCAACGACTCCTTTTATACCAGCCACTTACAGGTCTCTCTTGATGGCCTCAAGTTCAGTGATGACACCACTGCTGAGCCCAACAATGATGCTGAGGCCCTAGTTAATGGTTTTGAGCACGGCGGCCTGGCCAAGCCCTTGCCAGACAACAAGACGTCCACACCGAGGAAGGATGGCCTGGTGCCGCCCTCCCCCAGCCTCGTTTCCGATCTGCTCAGTGAACTTCACATTTCTGAGATACAGAAGCTGAAGCAGCAGCTGGTGCAGGTTTGTTGCTAGGGCCTTGTGTGCCAACTCTACTGCCACCCTGTCCCCCTGTTACAACACTGGCAGATCAGCATGCACTGCCTGAGAAGGCCTTTCCTGATAACTATGTTAATACTAATTTATTCATATTGACTTTAAATTCTGTCATTAACGTAAATAAAACTCCATAGTGTAGAGAGGATAGACCCAGAGAAGTCAATTCCTAATTAGAGGGTGAGGTTTAGTTCTGTGGTGCCCGTATTGCTTCCCATTACCCACACCATCAGGATGAAGTGATGTAGCGCTGGCCCTTGTGTGACACCTCCCCAGGCTACAGCTAGAGTGACAGCAGGGCTGTGCCTAGACTCATCTCCAGGGAGATTGGTCACTGTTGATCTAGCAAAACATCAAGTGCCCGCCACAGCAGTAGGGAGGAGGGCGGCAGAGCCTCTGTCTTCCAGAGCAGAGAGCTGGGGCTGTGAGGGTCCCCTCCAACCTGCCCTGCCCACCCAGAGCACCACATTCTGAGCCCAGCTGTCCTACCACAGGGGTAGACAGGGCCCTCATGAGTGACTTGCCTGATGATGGGCATGGTGCCCACTCCACCTGTACTCTACGTGTCACTGACAGTGTGGTCAGGAAACCTGTTGCGGTGCCATCCTGGAGGTCCCCTGAGCCTGCTGCTGAGCTGTCCTATTGCTTGTGCCTTACAGATGGAGCGGGAGAAGGTGGGCTTGCTGGCAACACTGCAGGACACACAGAAGCAGCTGGAACAGGCTCGGGGGGCCCTGTTGGAGCAGGATGAGAAGGTGAGCCGTCTTACCGAGAACCTCAATGCCCTGCGGCGCCTGCAGGCTGGCAAAGAACGGCAGACAGCCCTGGATAATGAGAAGGACCGCGACAGCCATGAGGACGGTGACTACTATGAAGTGGATATCAACGGGCCTGAGATTCTGGCCTGCAAGTACCACGTGGCTGTGACTGAGGCTGGCGAGCTCCGAGAGCAGCTCAAGGCACTGCGTAGTACACACGAAGCTCAAGAGGCCCAGCACGCTGAGGAGAAGGGTCGTTACGAGGCTGAGGCCCAGGCACTCTCTGAGAAGGTGTCCCTGCTGGAAAAGACTAACTGCCAGGACCGCGAGCTGCTGGCCCAGCTGAAGAAAGAGCTGAAGAAGGTGAGCGACGTGGCTGGTGAGACCCAGGGCAGCCTGAGTGTGGCCCAGGATGAGCTAGTGACCTTCAGTGAGGAGCTGGCCAACCTTTACCACCACGTGTGCATGTGCAACAACGAGACGCCCAACCGTGTCATGCTGGACTACTATCGAGAGGGCCAGGGCGGGGCAGGCCGCACCAGCCCAGGGGGCCGCACTAGTCCTGAGGGTCGTGGGCACCGCTCGCCCATTCTCCTACCCAAGGGGCTACTGGCCCCAGATGCAGGCCGAGCAGATGGTATTGCTGGGGACAGCAGCCCCTCCCCGAGCTCTTCGCTGCCATCACCCCTGAGTGACCCCCGCCGGGAGCCCATGAACATCTACAACCTGATCGCCATCATCCGCGACCAAATCAAGCACTTGCAGGCAGCTGTGGACCGCACAACAGAGCTCTCCCGGCAGCGCATTGCCTCACAGGAGCTGGGCCCCGCTGTGGACAAGGACAAGGAGGTACTCATGGAAGAGATTCTCAAGCTGAAGTCACTGCTTAGCACCAAGCGGGAGCAGATCACCACACTGCGCACTGTGCTCAAGGCCAACAAGCAGGTAAGCTGGCCTGCTGGGCATCTCTCACCCTTGGTCTCCATCCCTCACCTGCAGGGCTTCCCAGGCCTGTGTCATCACAGGATGGAGCTGGCTCCAGGTCGCCTTCAGCTCCTGCCCTCCCCTGCCAAAGACTCCCAGCCGGGCAGGTGGAATGGGTGGGAGGGCTTGAACAGGAACCATTTCTGGGGACTCTCTCATGCCAGTTCCTAATGCTGAAGTAAAACGTGAGAGCTGCACCCTGAACTGGTGGAAGAGTGGTGGCGGGCTGTGTGAAGATCCCCAGGAGTGGTTTAGAGATATTTGGTTCCGGTTCCTTATAGTCTGGATCAGCAGGTGGGATTCACTGAGGTGGTCTGGCCCAGGGCTGCCTCGGGGAAGGCATCTCCCAGAGTGTTTTTTGAGGGTCCCTACACCACCTCGGACTTAGAGTCTCCATGATCTCAGAGTGGCTCTAGATAGCTTCACAACTTGAACCTGTCTGCCCTAGACGGCTGAAGTGGCCCTCGCCAACTTGAAGAGCAAGTATGAGAACGAGAAGGCCATGGTGACCGAGACCATGATGAAGCTGCGCAACGAACTCAAGGCCCTCAAAGAGGATGCAGCCACCTTTTCCTCTCTGCGTGCCATGTTCGCCACCAGGTAACTGTGCCACCTGTGACCCTACATCTTCTGCAGCCTTGGCGCTCACCCACAGCCCCTGCAGCCTCTGGCCTGAGGCCTGCAGCCCTACTGCCTCAGAGCCTGTGTCCAGCTCTATCGGGCCAGCAGAGCTCAAGGTTTGGAAAGCACAAGCACAAGCCTGTTCCTGGCACAGGGGCTCAAGTTGGTTACAAGGCAGAGTGAAGCGATAAACGAGGGCTATGTCACGTCAGCACCCACAGCTGCACCAGGACGAGTTGGTCCTGTGTGTCATGTGGGCAGGTTCCCTCAGAGTGGTCTGTGCCTGGCAGGTGCTGGGCATGCTAACGTCGGGCAGTCCCTCCTGTTCTGTCTGCCAGGCCCAGCCCCCAAAAGCCTAGTTCTGTGTTACTAGTAATGAAAGCCTGGCAGGCCCAGTTTGTCTCATTTTATATATGAGGCTGAAGAGTGAGCTTTGGGGATAGGTGGGGTCCAGTGTTCGTGGGGCAGACAAGGAGCCCTGAGATTGACTTGAGGCACATACACGCAGTAGATCTGACAATGGGGCAGAGTTTCCTTTCCTGGCTAGTGGGTCCCTGTCAGGACACCTCTGCCCTGATCTGCACCCTCACCACCACCCACCTTGACTGCCAGGGAAGTGAGAGGAGGGGCTTGAAGATCGGGGCCCCAGACTGGAGAGCAGGGCCTCTGCCTTTCACACTCCAAAGGTGAGTGGTGCCACCTGCTGGTGGGTGTTGTTATGGCCCTGGGGTTGGCCATGCTCCCTGCACACCCAACACAGAAGCTGAGGCTTAGAGATAAACAAAATGGTAGCCAGGCCAGAGCTGGTGTCCCTGCAGGAAAGCCCTACCAGGGTAGGCAGAGAGACAAGTAGAGTTCAAGGGTTTCTGAAGAGGCTTTCTCTCTTGGAGCTTAGGAAAATGCTAGATAAAAGATTCCACAGCTCCTCAGCATCTGGTTTGTAAACCCTAACTCTTCTAACTTATTTTAAAGATCTGACCTTTCAGGTGTAGCCAGGTTTCAAACTTGTGAGGAAGATGACACAGTGTATGTCTCTGCGTCTCAGAAGCCACTGTCAAGGAACTGCTTCACAGGAGGTGGGCACAGGCAAGGAGTGGGCACAGGCAAGGAAGGGCCGCTGACAGGCAGAGGCAGCACTGCTCAATGGCAAACCACTCACTGCCCCAAGACCTGAGATTTGACCTCCGCAGGGTGTTTCCACCAGACCCTGGCCAGACAGGTGCGATGGATAGAAGACGGACACTAGGAACAGAGCAGAACACTAGCTCCACACCTGGCTGGGGCATTTGTGTCACAGGTGTAGGCAGAGGTGCCCCCTGGATCTGGCTGTGGTGCAGCATAGTCTTACTGAGCACCATTTGTACACTGACATGCAAACAAGCCCAGTCCTCCCTTGCTCTATACCCAAACCCTGGAAACCAGTGATGTTTCAGCACCTAAGCTTCCTCGTGGCCTTCGGATGGGGAGATCATCCCACCAAAAGGCAAACTTCTGAGAGTCATAACATCTTTAGGGAATACTTCTAGCTGAATAAGCAAAGCACCCCCACCAAACCAACACAAAAGCTAAGCCAGCCTTATAGGGCTGGTGGCTTGGGGTGCTGAGGGCCCCTCTGTCCCTCATCAGGGCTTTTGTCTAAAGAAGCCTTTGCTAAAAGAAATGACAACAAGCTTCCCTTGACCTTGGTCTCAACCCAAGCACCCCACTGAGGCACAGCCCTGGGTGGATGCTCTCCCTGGCCTGGCCCTTCATCTGCGCTCTTGGTCCCCACAGGTGCGACGAGTACATCACACAGCTGGATGAGATGCAGCGGCAGCTGGCAGCTGCTGAGGATGAGAAGAAGACACTTAACTCCCTGCTGCGCATGGCCATCCAGCAGAAGCTGGCACTGACCCAGCGGCTGGAGCTGCTCGAGCTGGACCACGAGCAGACCCGGCGGGGCCGCACCAAAGCTGCCCCCAAGGCCAAGCCAGCCGCCCCAAGCGTAAGTCACACCTGTGCCTGCGCCAGTGACAGGGCCGAGGGCACTGGGCTCGCCAACCAGGTGTTCTGCAGCGAGAAGCACAGCATTTACTGTGATTAGGGCCATGGGGCGCCACACGCTGCAGCTAATGTCCGCTTCACCTTGACTAACCCGGCAGCTGCGGGACAGTGGTGCTAGGCCAGTCCTAACGTGACTAATGCACAGAGGGCAGGATTCTAGCTGAGTGGCAGCATGGGGCATGGCTGTCACCAGGACACTTCTGTGAGTTTGTGTTGCTTCCTACTCCAGTCCCCTCAGGAGCACCTGTGTCAGCAGCTGTCTTTTTGAGGTCCGAGGTTGGGATAGAGCTGACACCCTTGTTGGAAGACAGATATACAAGTGTCTCCCTGGGGCCCTGGACACCTTAGGGAAAGAGTCCTGGTCCCACCCCCTCAGCACCCACAGAGGGACAGAACCTGAGTTGAAAGTTGCATGTTCCTTGTATGTGTCTAACATCAGCACCTGCAAGCAGTTTGAGAAGGTTCCTGTATGCGTCACAGGTCGAGCCTCAGAGGACTGCTCTGTGATTGGCAGAGTTCTGTGGAAAGAGTTATGTTTTAGTTTGTGCAGGATCTTACCATAAGTCACATTCAGGACAAAAGTATAGAATTGCATCCCCAGACCTAGAGAAGAGTGGTCCTGAGCTCCTGCATTCTACAAATGACTCACATACACAGCTGCCTGTAGCCCAGGAGAGCAGAGCACCCTAGTGTCTTGTCTCTGAGATCTGCATGCTGGTCTGCTGGCCTGTAAGGTGACAAATTGGCAGGGCCTGAGGCCAAGGGCTTCCTTTTTTAATGAGAAAAGTGTTCCAAGTGCCTGGCCAGACCTTGTGGTCCTCAGGTGAGGCCTGTCCTTTTGTCCTTGGGTAACCTAGCCACCTGTTTTTGGGCTTTTGTCTCAAGGGGCTTCAAACCTGCCGACATAAGTCTTGGAGAACCACAGCCTGAAGTCTGAGTGGACACCCACAGTGGTAGCAGAGCTGAGCCCACATTTGGAGGGCGTAGCCAGGGCCCAGGGCTGGTTCCCAGAGCTAGCAGGTTGTGAATGGTTCTCTAGTACAATTTAGGGGTGCCAATAGAAAGAAAAGTCAGCCAAGGGCTCCCCTGTTTCTCAGAGGCTTCATCCACACCACAGCTCTGTCATTAGGCTGACATGTGAATCTGAGTTCACATGTGCTGAAGCAGAACCCTTCTCAGTATTTCCCTCCTGATTCCCAGGGGACAGCAGGCCCAAGGCTGCCTTCTGCTCGCCCGTCTTCCTGTAGAAAGGGGATTGGTGCTGTGAGGCCAAGAGGGTCATGTTGCCCCACACACAGCTGTCTTTCCCATTCTTTCCATTAGCGCTGAAGGTGACGTGGTCTTCTCCAGACTATAGGCAATGCATGGTGCAGAACAGTAGGAAAGTAGGCTGGGGCATGGGTGTGCTCTGCACGTCCATCCTGGTGATGGCTGCCTGCATGCCCGTCTGCGCTCCCCACCAACCCCGCCTTGCTCTCTCTTCACCAGGCCAGCACGCAGCTTCTCTTGGACCTATAAGGGGCTTTGCAGTCCCTCAGAGCTCCTGGCCCCCCTAACACAAATGCAGGTCTCCTCTGCCAACTAACAGGCTCGCACACTCAGCACAGTGAGGACTTAGTTGTCAAGTGGCCCAGTTCTAATGCTGTCTTGTTTTCTCCCATTTTCAGCTGTAGAGTAGCTGCTGGGAGGATGTGGCCACCCGGCCCTGTCACACTGCAGTCCCTCCCTCCCCTCCTGTGGCCCATGCAGAGAAAGGAAGGGTAACTTAGAAGTCCACTTAGAAACATTTTGGATATGCCACTGCAATTCTTTTCAAGCTAGCATTCCCCAAGTTTTTAATGGGAGGAGAAAAAGCTTTAATACTGAGAATGCCGTGAGCTGCTGCTTGGAAAGGCCTCTGCAGGGCCGAAGAACCTGCTTCCCAGCCACCACCAGGCTCGCTAGGAGCCCACTGGAACACTCACACAGGGGTCTCCTTATTACACATGTTCCTTTTTTTATCCGATCAACCTGTGCACTTTTGATATTTTGATATTATATTTGCTTCCTCAGTTTCTCTCCTAGAGACGGTCTCGGATGCCGTGGTCTGTGCTCGTGGCCCTGTAGCTGTCCGTCTTAGCTCTGATGTGTTGGTCTGGCGTCAGCACAAGGCAGGCCGTGTGCTCCGTAGTGTGTAGCTCTAGACTGGAGATGAGGCTTTGGCCCAGCGAGGAGCTCGGCTAAGTATATCCACGCTGTGGTTCAGCAGCCTTTTAGATTATACGGCATTACGGTTCGTGTTTGAAATTACAGATTTTAAATGCCATGTTCATTAAGAAATCCAGGGTATTCCAATTCTGGGGTTTTTCATATTGTATTATTATTATTCTTAGGAATAGTTCAATGTAACAAGAAGAAAACTTGACCTTTGCTCTGGTTAAAATAGTAACAGGCACTTGAAAAAAAAGATAAATTATTGAACAAGTAGTATTACCTACAAATTCCAGAATTTTCTGGGTTTTAGGACCTTGTAAAGCATGACTGATTAACAGAATTTTATACAACTGTACCAGTGAAATTCCAAATTGGAATTGTTTTGTTACTCTGGTTGTTGTGCCAAATTATGGTACACTTAGAAAATTCTACAGTTGTCGATTTTTAGGGTGTTCTATTTCAACGCCTTTTTGTTAGTAATCATTGCCAGTAGTGCCTTCATCAGTTAAGGGAGGTGTCCCAGCAAAGTCGTTTCTCTAAAAAGGGCAGTGAAGAGCTAGTTGGGAATGCTGAAGGCCAGTGTGGACCAGCAGGTGGAAGGGGCGCCCGTCTCACACCTGTACCTGGGCATCTTCACCGAGGGAAAGAAAACAGTAATTGTGCAAAATTCTGTTAGTCAGTGATTCTTTACTTGCAAATTCAGGGGCTTAGAAAACAAAAACAAACACAAAACCTTGAGTGTGCTTTGGGAACCAAATGGACTTACTAGGACAAGCTAAGCAATCTTACGAACACCACGTTTGTGAAGAGAACACTTTGTGAAGAGCCGAGGGCGGCAGCGCCGGCTCAGTCGGTTGACACAGGAGTGGGGGACAAGGGTTAGCCATAGTATTCTTTGCAAATGTGAAAACAACATATCATATCTTCTCTTGCTTGGTGTAACTAATCACTGTTAATTTCAGGAAACAGAACTCAGTAAAGCTCCTCAGCAAACTAGGTCTGTGTCCTGTTCTGTTTGCTGAGTGAGGCTCACCAGTGTGGTCAGATTGGTACTAGTGGAGGAAGAAAAGCTGTCCTCTATCCTCCAAAAAAAGGACAAATTATAATAATATAAATTATAAGAATTGAAGAATTCTGTTTCCTGGAATGAGCATTTCTTATTCTTAATTGTTGGGCCTCCTGTTTTGACCTTCTGTTACAGTGTTGATTCATAAAAAATACTGTTACATTTGAGATAACTTCATCTATATGGGGTATTTATTTGCAATGTCTATGTACTGTATTTTTTTGTGTGTGTGCATTACCTTAGTGTCAGAATGTTGGTCTTTATTTTAAAAGTCATATGCATGTTCTCCTGCCAAGGAACCTTTACACAGACCCCCCCAAAAAAATTAATAAGCAAATGCCTTCAATTTCTGGGAAAATGAGGCAGAGTATGGAAAAGAAATGGGAAAGAAAAATAATTGAGACTCTCAAGACAGACACATGGCGTGAATGTCTACAAGGCCAGCACACATAGGAACAGTGGGCCTGGGTAAAGAGTTGTTGGTAGGACCAATAAATAAAGTAATAAAAAGACAAAGCACACAGCTTGCTCTCTCTGGTTGCTTTGATCCCTGATGTAGATGACTGTGATGCCAGCCTTTGGGTTCCTCTGATGGGAGGAGCTGGAAGCATCCTGGGGGTGAGGGGAGGAGATGCATGGGCCATACCCCGTTCCCACACAGGTCCAAGTACCCAGGGTTCAGAAAACACTGTGCTTCCATGGATTAAAAGCACGAGTAGTTTTTGTTGTCCTGACTTGGAAGCAGTAGTTTGGGTAATGTGGAATTCTATAGTGGCCAGAGTCTTGCTCCTGAACACAGGAGTGAACAGACTCAGACCACAAGGTTTACCTGTTCATCAACACAAACATCTATTAAATTTTAGGCATGTGTACCAAGATACACTGGGCACATTGAAGTGATTGCTCATGGGTATGAGAAAATAGGACAGTAGGTACCAGGGTGCACCCTGGCCAGCTCTTGACAACCTTATCTACCCAGGACTTCCCTTGAGAGGTCTCTCAGGCCAGGGTCTTGCTAAAGATCTTTCCCTCTGTGAGGGTCTCATCCCTCTGGCGTGTCCTTCCACTGACAGTCACATCCCTCTTTAGTAGCAGCTGCCATGACCTGTTTTCGTTTTGCATCATTTTTTTGGATGAATAAAGAGGCTGTTAGCCGGGCGTGGTGGTGCACGCCTGTAATCCCGGTACTTGAGAGGCTGAGGCAGAAGGATCACTGTGAGTTTGTGGCCACTCTGGGCTGCATAGTGAGTTCAAGACCAGCCTGAACTATATAGCAAGACTTTGTCTCAAAAACAAACAAACAAACAAAAAAACCCACAAACTGTTGTCCCAGAGTCTCAGGAAAAGGGTGAAAGGAGAGCCATCACCTGATCTGGAGAAAGACCCCCTAAAGAGTAGCACAATGTGGGACAGCAGCAGGGGCCCATGAGACAACCCTACTTCCCCTTGTGTGGATGGTCAGCTGCAGCCTGGCTCACTTCTGCTCTTCAGGCTGTGGTTCACACAAGCATCCAGATGCTGAGCTTGCACCCATCGCATCCTGGGTCCTTAAATGCTCCCTGTTCTGGGTCTTCCATTTCAGCCTCAGCAGATGGTTACCCACCACGCTGCAGGAGGGGGCAGCCATGCTGAAAGGCTGCCTGTGTGGTCTTTCTGCCTGAGATCTTCCATCTCTCTGTAAGAATTTCACCCCAACACCTGGCAAGTTACTAGGGCCGAAAACAATGGCACAGGCTTGGTAGCTGGACCACTGGCTGCCTGCTTGGATCGCCACCAATTGGTAGCTGGCTGACCTTGGCTGATTTAGCCTTTATGGAAGGTGGTAGTTCCTCTTAGAAGTCATTGGAGCTTCCTGAAGCCCTTGAGGATCTGGTGTACCCCAGATGTTCAGTGGAGGATTGTTAGTAATGCGGTCCTGACTGATACCATCATCGTTATTGCTGAGGCCTTAGGCACAGGCCAGGAAGCAGGGCCTTTGTCCTTTGGGAAGTATGATTGTAAGTCAGCTTCTCATCCAAGTGTAATTTGCATGTAGGGAAGTACACATATTGTGCCAAATTTGCACGCAGTAAACAGTTCTGTAGCAGCTAGGAAGCTCCCCAACAACAATACCAAAATGTGTAGTCTTACTCAGTGAATATGTAATCTTCTCCAAGATAGAACATAAGAAATCGCAATCAATTTAAGATTGGAATCATACAAATTATATTCTCCAGTGACAGTGGAATAAAATTGAAATAACACTGCAATTTGGAAGAATGAAAATATGTGGAAATGAAACAGCACGTTTTCTAATCAGATGTCACACAGATGAAAGGGCTGAAATCAGTAACCTAACATCGTCTATTCATATAGGAAAAAATGAGGCCTGTTTGGCCTGCATGGCCAAGATACCCTTCAGTGAGGTGGTTGAAGTGGATCAGCCAACCCAGGGAGATCCAAATGCCATTCACCAAGAGAGCGAGCTGAGAGAAGCCATGGTGGGGCATCCAGGGGAGGATTGGCTGCGGAGCTTGGGGAGTTTTGAAGGAACAAGATGGCCTGGAGCTACAACTGCAGCAGTATAGCTCCGATGGCATGGGTTGCGTAGTCTGTGGTGCTACCATTGTCCTCTCCAAGTACCTGGGAACGCCTGGCTTTTGGCTGACTGCATAGACTATGAAGAGTCTTTGGAGCCACTGCTGAAAGCTCTGAAAAGGTCTCAGTGGATCTGAAACTTGTATTATATGTTGCTATGAACAACATATGATGGGGGGGAAATCCAGAAATTGAGAAAAAATATTTTAGCTCCTTCAGCTAGATTTTGACTTTGAAAAAATTGCTTTGGAAAAACACGTTGAAGAGCACCAAAGCGAAGATATTCACATTGTATACATCAGAAAGAAAAAAATCAAAATCACCACCGTGAAAACTTGAGCCGTCTTCCCCAAGCCTGTGCCAGCATGGGTAAGCTAAAGACGTGAATGCAGCATGGGAGGACTCTTCCCGCACTTTTCAGCATTATTTGTTTTTGTTTTTTGGCACCAGGGATCGAACTCGGGTCCTTGTGCTTGCAAGGCAGGCGGCGGAACCACTGAGCCAAATCCCCGGCCCTACAGACTTTCCAGCATGTCCCTAGTGAGCCGATACCGGGGTGATGACCACCATAGGTTGCCTGCAATATGAAAAATGCTGCCTGCCTGCCAATGGGCCTGAAACCCAACTTAGGTTTACTTAGCTCGCCATCAAGTTCTGCTTGAAAGGAGTGTTGAGAATCCATCACTCAGAATTGGTATTGAGGTTACCCTTGAAGTCTGCCAAATATAGTGAAGTAGCATGGCTGACTCAACTCGTTTCCAAGCAACTGGAGATAAATCGATCCCGTTTCTGAAGATGCATCTTGGTTACTATATAATAACGTTTTAAATTCAAACCAGTGTATTTTAGTTTGCCTTCAAGATACATGAATTGAAAAGGCTTCACTTTATGTAATTATGTGTAGTTTCATCTTCTGCTTCATATATCTTTAATACCTAAATGTTCTTTTACTTAAAAACAAAACTGAGACTATTGTCTTGTGTTCTTATATTGGCCAAAGTTTTGTTCTTGTCCTCTGCCATAGGTGTATGAGTGGTTTAAATATTAAATGACAAATAGTTACTAAGACAAATCGAGAGATGGGGGACAAGAGGCACTGTCGCTTTGCCAGTCTCCATTTGAGAACGCAGCGAGAGTAGAAAGGCCAGTTGGAGGCTTATGCACGTCTGTGGCTTGCGCAGTTTTCCTTGTGTATTTCTTCCAGGGAAGTCTGGTTTAAGGGCACAGTGTTGTTAACTTGTCTGCATGAACAGTGAAAGATTGTCCAATGACTACAAGTGTAGTTCCACACTCATTTACCCAATGATTTTTCTTCCGTTTTGTCTTTTGTACGATAGTTATCTTCTCGGGTAGACTAATCTTCAAGTACTTTTCATCGTACCATTTCCAAAGAGTAGGAACCAGGTGGGGTTCTGATATTTACAGGCATTGGGTGCTAGGTGGCCACATTTTCTGTATTAAAATAGACGTTGTTTTTGAGGCCAAAATAAAAAGAGCAGGATTAGTCAGCCGTCTGTAAACAGAAGCCAGAACATATTTTCCCAGGCAGTGGAAGAATGACCCCAAAAATATTTTTTGGAGGTCACTGAGGTTGCCCCTTCTTCTGTCGCAGGCCAAGAGAACAAAGCTGTGGGTGCATAGCTGCCTTCATCTAAAATTCAAAGGATGCAGCAGAAACCATGAGGCCCAAGCAAAGGATTGCCGCTAGAATGGGCCATCAGTGCAGCCATGGAAGTGGGACTGTCCCTGTGACCCCAGAGAGACAGAACCACCAGTGCTTGATTTCAGATAAACCTTAGGCTCATGGCTGAGGCACAGAGCTGTTGTGGAGATAGGGCCACTAGGGAGAACCACTGTGGGAGGGGAGTTACCTCGGGCAGGGTGTTGCATTCTGAAGGTGGTACTGTCACACTCAAGGGCCCAGACAACACAGCATTGAGACAAAGATTCTCTCTCTCTCTCTCTCTCTCTCTCTCTCTCTCTCTCTCTCTCATTTATTTGAGACACTGTCTCATTATGTTGTTCAGGCTGGCCTTGATCTCACTGTAACCCAGGCCGATGTCAAACTCGCAGCAATCCTCCTGCCTCAGCCTCCCAAGTGCTGGAATTATAGTTGTATGCCACTATATCCAGCAAGGTTATTCTTGAGCCTTTAGATTTACTATTAGCATCCAAGGTGATAAAGATATGTGGGAATCTTTGGGAGGTGATTAGGTCGTTAGAAAGGAGCCCTGTTGGTCAGAAAAGCAAAGATCCCAGATACTCAAGTTTTAAAAGACCCAGGGATGTACCTCAGTGATAGAATGCCCTGAGTTCCATTCCTAATGCAAGCCAGGTGTGGTGGCGCACACCTGTAATCCCAGCACTCAGGAGGCTGAGGCAGGAGGATCTCTGCGAGTTCCAGACCAGCCTGGGTTACACAGTGAGTTCCAGGTCAGTCTCACTACATAGTGAAACCATGTCTCAGAAAAAAAGAAAAACAAATCAATTCCTAATGCAGAGGGAGCGGGGAGTTTACAAAGAGAAAGAATGGAAATATGAGTGGCTATATCACATTTCACTCTACCGTGTTAAACTATAGCTGTATATAAGAAATACGTCCTCACAAGACACCATGTCTACACACATTGATACGTGAACTGTGAGAAATAAATTGCTACTGTTGAAGCCACCCAGTAAATGGTATTTTTGTTCCAGCAGCCCAAATAGACTGACACATATAAAATGCTCAGTTAAAATCACAAAAAG